ACATCTGAAAGTGAAAGCATAAAACTCTACTTGATCGTGTTGAGCGATCGTTTTACGTCACTTGTATAAATGAGCGTTACATATATTAGTATCGATATTCAAGATAATATTCAAGAATTCACGCGAAAAAGCATTGTCATGACGGGCGCGGCAGCAACACGAAGGTGCCTTTGATATCGATCGCCTCGATTCCATGTTCTGAGAGAGGGGGATGATTCATCCCCCGTTATTCACGATTTAATTCGGCGCACTCGGAGTTTTCCTCCCTCCAACGATGCGACAAGCCGGACGAATTCGTTTTTGTGAAATTGACCGCAAAACAAATAGTTCCAATCTAAGAACACAAGCAAGGAAATTCTGAGTGGTACCACACACAACGATTAAAACTCATTTCGTCGAATTTAATCGCCCAAATAAAACGATTTTACCATCGCAAAAGTGTAATCGTTGCTTGCATTGCTTGTGTTTGACTTTTCAGAATTTACTTTCTTCAGCATTAGGTTTCCAGTAAGAAATATACAGAAATGTTTTAGAAACTTTTAAATTTTTTATCACAATTCTCTTCTTCTCTTTCTAAAAAAAATGTATTGCAGTCTATTATTAATATAACTTTAATTTAATATAAAACATAGCTATAATAAGTATTGTTTAGCTATAATAATAACTTATATAGCTGTAAAACTTATGAAATGTGTGTATGAAATAAATTAAATTTAAATTAAACATCTTACAAATATTTGTTGTTTAGTCGTTTATAAAATATAATAAAAATGTAACTTTAATCAAGAAAAACCCGATTAACTCGTTCGCTATACTTTTGCTACTTCTGCTCTCCAAGTATAAACCGGCTGTTAGATGTAAATACATCCTAACTTCGTTAATTGGTATTAATATAATCAGCTAACGCGAATTTCATATCTTATATTAATATGAATTTATTAAAATTTTATATCAACTTCTCGCGATTTTTAACTGTAGCCAAAAGTAAAAATATATATTTATTTTTCTTGTGCTTAGAGAGGAAGTGTTGTGCTAAATTCATGAAATTAGAACGCCATAATATTTCCAGTTTTGATTTTTTAGTATGAAAAATGCGGAACTTTTTTCATTTTGATAAGAAACTGTAGAACTATAAAAAATGCTATTGGAACTATCATTATTTTTTTATATTAATAGAATAGTGTTTTTTATAAAAAAAAGTTCTGCATTTTTATTACTAAAAAATCAAAATTAAAAAAGTAGCAGCCGAAACTCTGTTTAAAAATGAGCATAGAATTTTGCTAGAACTATCAAGAAATGTCGCTAAAATTGCGACAAATTAATGATATGACTTTTTTTTCAAGTGCTATGATGTCTTCAATGTTTTGTACATTTAAAGTCTATTAATTGTCGAAATTTTGTTTTCAAATTACTGCGACTTACTTAAGGATCTCGGTAAATGCGCAGTATGGCGTAAAGAGGCGATAATGCTAGAATTCTGCTTGAGTTGCACGCGTCATGAGTCACAAGTCTGATGATAGCCGGTCATTAATTAGAACCAATTAAGGGCGGCCATCGCGAAACGTGGACGTCTTGCCCTCTCGAACAAGAAGGTGACATCCCGGCATCTCTTCCTGCCTGATGTTATCGTTTACGAGCAGCGCAAGCCGCCTTCATTCCGTTATGAAACGAAGCGCCAGCAAGTTAACTTAAAACAGCGTGAAAAGATAATTAAGAGCATTTGACGAATGACAGGATATGCCTTTGTTCATTTTAGGGAACCGACACGATACTGAACGCGTACTTTTCAAGGGACTTCCCAAAAAAAGACAAGAAGTGATCAATTTTGAGATGTTTTGACATTTTTGTGATTAGAAAAAATGAACAGACACTCTCTCCCCATGTGCTAGAATTTGCAAAGTAAAAGATAGTAAGGATTTTTGTGCAATAATCTTGACATTCTATTTTAATGAAAGAGTTGTTTATTTTAATGAAACATGTATTAATTAAAAATAGAACTCTACACAAATATAGTTGTTTAAAATAAATGTAATAATCTGAATATGCTAAAATATCGATATAAATTTTGCAACTCTTGCCTTTGAGTCGTTTCGCTGTACCATCCGATTTTTACCTGCGCATAGTCTAAAAAAATATTGCATGACTTTCTAAATATTTAGAATTTTGAAAATAATTTTAGAGATATTCTCTACATGTTAAATTTTCAACAAATTTTTTCGATTTTTTTTTACCGTTTCAATAAAACTGATCTCTTAATGCTTAAAAATTAATATCTTGACATTAATTGTATTAAAATGTAATATTCCTTGCTTCCAAATATTTGAATTAAAAAATTTAAATAAAACACTTAGAGTAAACTGTTTTAAAAATAATCAAAATCCTTATTATTATTTTTATTAAGTATTTTACCGTTAGTAGGAAAATGTTGGGTGATATCGAATAGCAGCTGATATCGGACAAGAATAAAAAATTGTTTAAAATTTTAGAGACGTACAGCAGTGGCGTTTTTTCGTTGTCCAACCAGAAGCAACCACGATTAAGGCTATATTCGTCTTTTGGTGTCTGAAGACGAAGATAGGCTTAGTTGTGGTAGCTTCTGGTTGGACAACGAAAAAACAGCTAGATTTGTCAAGCCACTGGTAAGTCCATTTGCACATGAAAGTCGAGATCAGAACCTCTGCTTATTGAAAATAGAAGCAATGTTGTTTATGAATTATTAAACGTTTTGCTGTGTGGCTGTTATGTTATGTCGGCACGGAGTAATTCAATAAATCAGTCATATCATAAATATATAAAGCTTCTATTATTCTCTTTGTGGGTTTAAAATCTTTTTTGTTTTAAAGCTGCTTGTTTTATATGCTATTTTACCATTGTGTGTCATTCGGAGGTAGCGAACAATAAACTGGCAGACAATACAGTCTAATCTAAGTAGTCAACGAGATTTAGTTTCTGACAGTTTTCTTTTCTTTTCAGTGTAAATATGAGGGACATATATACGAGACAAAAAGAAAAAGAGAGTGTAATATTAGTTGTCAAAAAATAAGGAAACGACAACCGAAGCAAGTGAGATACTGTTCCGAAAAATATAATAGGATATAAATTAGGATATAAATTAACTCCTAATCAACTCCTAATCGATAATTTTCTAAGTGTTCACAACTTGTCTGCTGCAGGCATTATTCGGAAATAAAACGTCTAACTGGACAATTATAATTGTGTTTGTTTAATTAAAGGATTATTATTATAATTGTTAGATAATTATAATTGTCCGTGCTCAAAATATACTTTTAGACTCTTTATAGATTTAAATTAATACACTAATCTAATAATAGAGGATATCGATGTAACTTTTTCTCTATGGAGTGGAAATGTGAAAAGTGAACATTTTTATGTATTGTATATACATACGCATACAAAAAGTTTTCACTTTTCACATTTCCGTCTTAGGGAAAAATTAATCCCTAGAAGCGATAATCATTAAAAGCTGAGGGGATCTCAAAGCCGTCTGTATTAAAAAAAATTTTTCTTAAGATTTCAATTTCGAAACTTTTTGTCGTTCGCGGTATAAACTCCATTTCACAGACACGTACAAATGCGTATATTTTAATCCTGTACAAGGATTTTCGAATCTGTAAAACAGGAAAAAAGTAATTGTTACGCATTTTCTACGCGAGATGCATCGGTTGCATCTTATTTTCCTAGTGGATTACAGCGTGTACAATATTTCGCTTAACTACAATGTCGGATTATTTGTTCTGACAGGTAAATGCGCTTTAAACGCGTCGTTAATTATAATATTACCTGCTTTCGCTGCCGCTATTCATGTTCGTCGATTTAACTGTCTCATGTCTGTCTCTGTGTTGTCTTTTTTTCTGATTTGAACAGTTCAGCAGATTTTCTATATTCGCGTACATTCTCTCGCGATTTCGAGAAGGCAATATTCTTCGGATAAAAATTGTATCTTTACGAAATGAATTTTCAGCTATGATAATGGCGATATAACCGCCACAATACAAAAATTATTCAGCCGGTATTACAGGCAGCTTTAAAAAGCGGCCCAATACTGGGGTGTGAAGCATCTAAATTCTAAAAGAATACTCCAGTCGCGTAGATAATAATCTTTTAACAGTTGCAAGCTGCTTTTTTGTTAAATACAATTAATATTTTACGTTTTTATTTCAATTTTTATCATGTATATTACATTTTACTTTTACCCTCTAAGAAAATAAAATCTTACATAAATCTGTACTTGATACTACCTAACAATCCCCTAACTTAATTTATTGTCGCCTCTCCTTTATAAGTTGTTTACTTAATATAAACTGATAAATTTAATTTATAATCACATGATCCGAATTCTTATCGTACTATACGATACCACAACCAAACATCACCAAACATTATCGCTTTATTTTTCTGTGAATTAACATATCTATAACTTGATAAAATTATCTCTCACAAACACGCAAGCGACAATTTGCGGTTAAAGAAACTTATAAATTCTTAAACTCTTACATAAATTCTTACCAGCATTTCACTGTATGGTTTCCGGCAATAAAAATTCCAACTCTTTTACGTTTCTTTGAAGCATCACTTTCTCGAATGGATTTCGAAAAATCTTCACGTATGATCAATTAATTACTTCCAATGTCATTGAAATGTAATAAAGAGACTCAATCACTCAAAGTTTACAACATAGATTTACTTAGTTCGCGAGGTTCTTACGCTTTCTTAAAAATAAAGTTTGAATAGATGTAATAATATTCGAAAAAATATATGTGTAGTTGATTCGTGTTACGGACTAGAGTAAATACATATGGCAAGTGCGGATCGGCGATTAAAATCGACAGTGAACAACAACGACGGAAAATTGCAACGGACGGACAGGCAACCGTCGAAGACTGCGGACCGCGTAGAACTGCGGATTGAGGGCTGAAAAGAGTATCAACGTACCAAGCCACTCCACCACACCACCTTCGGTGGTTCCGCCTTTGTTACGTACTCGGCCTGATGCCGAAGCCGGTGTCTAACATGTGCTGTGGAAACACAAATCAGAATAGTGTAAAATAACAGAATCGCGTGTGAGGAAAATCAACTTCCCGATATATACTTGAGAAAGAGAAATAAGAGTCTGAGAAACATTTTATTTTAAATGAAATAAATTGCCCCATTCTTAACTCTTGATAATATTTAAAATAAAATTCTCTTTTTTAAAAAAGGAAAATTTTTGCATTATTGTTTTGCTTAAGATTAATTAGTCTTTCATTTCTCTTTTTTTAAATGTTAAATATGTTAATATTAATCTTTAAAGGTGAATCATTAACATAGGTTTTTATAATGAAAGTAAATTAGATGCATGAACAATACAATTTCGTTTATATAAAAAGTTTTATATAAAAATTATATTCAAGGATATTTCTGGAAATTATATGCGCTAAAGTATATAATTAATAAAAATAAGACGTTTATTATGTTATGTGAACCTCTTCGCGAATGTTGGCGTATAAATTATACCAAATTATACATAACGCGATAAATACAATTTAATTAAACAGGATGTACTTAAATCAAACGGAATTCTTTTTCTTGATATTCCCAAAATAATTTTTTAACTCACAAATTTTTAAATAAAGTTTCAATAAGCTCTTTATATCAGAAAATAATTTAACAAATTTTCAAATAATTTGAAAATGTGTAGTTCTATCCAGAATCCATATCTAGCAAGATAAGAAAACTTACTAACTCAAAGGAGAGAGATGTTACTCGATTGACGACCAAAAATGGAATTCTTTCGAACAAAGTTGAAGTAATTAAAATTTTGACTCTAGATTAGGAGCCCTCTTCAATGCGAAAGTCAAACTATAATGAAAGCGCAAGAGAGAATCGAATATAGATATTCTCCTTGGTTTTTTCATTGACTAGTGACTACGTAGCTAGGTAAACAAAAAGAGGAGAAGAAGAAGAGGGAATAAAAAATTTGTACCAAAATGATAAATAAGATTAAACGTTTTGTTAAAATATACATTTTGGTTCAAGACTTCGACGTTACCTCACTCGAAATCTCATGAAAATATTTTAAATAATGTTCTGTAATAACAGTAATGACAGATGTTTGTATTATATTTCTTTTTGATGTAATTCATGTGCTTATCAATGAAGATGACTCAAATCCAGAGTTAAAATATTTGCGTTTACTTAAACTTATTTGATAAGTACATCCCAATTGATTACGAATTTTATTTATTGCGTTTATAAATATAGAATTTACGCACTAACCGCACATCCGCAGAAGCTCACATAAGCGTTTTACTTGTATTAAATATATTCTTGAAGAGCTACTAATATTAATAATTTATTTTATATTGTAACTAAAATATAACTTAACTCAATCTCTCTTCTCATATTTTATTATATTCTTCTATAAATTTCTAAAGAATTATAAATAAAAAAAAGACAAATAATTTTAAAAATATTTTAAGAATTTCTTGTTTACTCCGAGTTTATTTATATATATAGTTTTCTATATTTAAGTTTTTTTATGAATTAATGTATCTAATCTGTTCAAAATGAATTCAAAAAGAATTAAAAATATACACAAATATATTTATATGCATATTTGTATATATGTTACCTTTAGTAAAAATAATATTTAATTTGCATAAAAATCAAAATATAATTTATTATTGTACAAAATTAAGAAATAGAAAAAGATTAGAAAAATAATACTTTTGAATTTGAAAAAGCGCTTACAATTGATAACATAAGAGTGAAATTTTTTTGAACTCTCAAAAAACTTTTAAAACAGTAGTAAAACGATACAGAAATTTATTTCCTAAATAATAAATTAGAAATTAAAAAAGAACTTTTTTCGAACTGTGTACTATATGGGTTTGCACCGAGAAAGAAAGAAAAAGAGAAATAAAGTAAAAGAGAACACGTACGGTGTTACCAAAATAGCATTTCTTATTATATGTACGTGCGAAATAATGTAAACGAGAAAGCCATTGGCGTTCTGTTGCAAATTCGACATTACAAATAAAAGTTTAACAACAATATTTAATTATGCGTATTTTGTTTTGAAATTTTTAAATATAAAAAAAAAAGATAAAAAACAAGGTAGAGTAAACCGGGTATAAAAGTAATATTTTAAATTTGAAGTTTTATAACAATTAAAATATAATATCTACGTTAAAAACAACCTGTATCTTTAGATGTAGAATTTATTTAGCTACATAAAATAATACATTATATACTTTCACTAAAAAAAAAGATATTTCAGATTTTATGCACACATTAAAACATACTTGATGTATTAAAACTTACACGTACATATATCTGTCATAGTTTCAAAAACCCTACTGTTTTTGTCCCTGTATCCATAGAAGATTCTAGCGATATTACAAGAACGTTGCAACATTTCTACAATATTGTTGAAATGCTATCTGAGCCCAGTTATTCATTTTAGTAAATTTATCTAATTTCGTTGATTAGTAATTAAATTAAATTAAATTAAATTTATTTTTTGTATAATTCCTTTAATTTTGCGCGTCTTTAATTTTACAGAATATTAAAATTGACGCGAATGTACGCATGCAATATAAAATATAATAATTATTCCATGTAATAATTATATTTATTTTAAGCATAACGAATGTTATAACTTTCAGTTTCCACGAAAAATCTAACAAGATATTTTCTTTCCGTAGTTTGAATGTAGGTGGACTACTTTGAAGTATATTGTTAACGGCCGTCGTAGACTGTTAGGCACGTACGCACGCACATATACACATATACACATTTTTCTTATTCAACCGTTGGCCATACCCGCGAATATGCACGATGAATAGTATATCCGAACCAGACGATCACAGATGCACAATAGCTTCGGTGTGTGCGACAGACATGCTGGTTGGCGCAGGCACCTGGCCACGATAGGGTCGAGAAATGAATGACGTGTACGGGTCGTTTTATGATGGTGAACTCGTAAGGAAGGCTCGGTTATAAGAAGGGTCTCCCCTCACGTACACTATCGATCCTGACGAAGGTTTCTTATTTTGCTCCGATCCTGAAAGAAGTAAAATGAAAGGAATAAAAACCACGTCATTTCTGTCAGCAGTTCTTATCGGTTTGCTTTCTTCATGTATTTTACATTAGAAAGAGATTGTTCGCGAAATAATGAGTGAATAACGATGACACGGTAGATAAAATCATCAAATTTTTTAGTTAACAAATGCGTAGTACATTTAGCATTTGTAGAATTATAGCCGTAAGGCTGATTAGGTATTAATAGACAATCGGAGTAATTACGAGATTAGTGAAGCAGTGCATGAAACACGTTTTAGTATCTAGATTTGAGAAAAATCTCGCGTTTTCGAATTTCAGTCGACTCTGTTAATCTTTCCATCGCTTATACATTGAATGTTATCATAGATTAAAATATAAATATTAGTATGCAATTCAGTTCCGCGAACAATTAAGAAATGTTATCACAAAGGATCAACCGAAATTACAATAAAGCGGGACAAGTGTGGTACATTGCTGACAACTATCTCCTTTTATTATCGTATTTTTCGAAAATTAGAGAAGTTCTAGTGTCAAAGCTCGAAGCGATTATCATAATAGTCAGCTGTTTTACTCAGAATGTGTTCTATTTGGCGCTCATAACTCTCACGAGCATTATATATCCTTTTGTTTAACATTTGATAAATAACAAGGATGAAATTATTCCATGTGCATTGCGAGCGTCAAGTAGAATCTACAGTTAGAAATCTTTAATTATTGTTATTAGGACCGTGCTTTGACATATACTGTCAACCGTCAGTACTGGAAATCTATAATATATGCAATCGTAAATTGTTATATATAAAGGAATAATAATATTAAAAGAATATATAATAATATAAAATATAATAATATTAAAGGATTAATAATAAATGTTCTTCTTTTTTTAGATAAATTCAGTATAAAGTACAAAATCGTACTCACTATTGAATACTTGGATGAAATTGCTGAATTTATATTTGCGGAGCTCAATACAGCAGATTGACATAGGGAGAAATTCGTTAAAGAGAAGATTGATGTTGCGGTGGTGGTTTTGTGGATATTGCTTTTATTATTTCAACCTATTGAATCTGTTTCATTCGGTTAAAACAGTAAGTACGTATAACCAAGTTTCCATGCACAAAGTTTCAATTCAGCTTTGTATTAATTCCTTGCGTATGCATATATATATTTCTAAAATATCAGAAATTGTTAATCGAAGTAATCAATATCGAAAGATATTGAAAGACATCTTTTGTTTGAATATTTTATTTAAAGGAAAATTGAAATATTAGAGAATTTCTATATTATTATAATAAAGATTAAGATCTTTAATGATAATAATGAATACTGTCATCGAAAGAATCAAGAAAAATTATACAGATAAATAAATAATATTTGCATGTAAATTTCGCAAGCTCGACGGTCTCTATTTAGAAAATAATTATTTGAGTGAAAGTTCTTATTGATCCTGAAAATCCTGATTAAACATTAACGTATAGCAAGGATGCGTATTAAACATAAACTTTTTCGCCCGCCTTTGGCTCTTTCTGGGTTATTTTTTATAGTTGATCACCCGCATCTGTTATTTCTTGACATGATCACGTAACAAGGTTGGATTATTTGTCATGATAACAGATGATCACCCGGTTTCGAAAATGCTAATTATTATGCGGTGATTAACGTTTTTTTCTTTTTATAAAATTACATTACTTTATTTAAACGTATAAGTTTAGGATTTTAATCTTTTAATTATATTATCTTTTAATTATATTATGTAGTTAATATTTAATTAATTTATGTAGTTATAATTTTCTTTTATATTACAGTTGATTCAATTTTATTCTCTATTTTTGTATACCTATATTTTTTTTGTGTATTCTTTATTTTTTCTTAACATTATTTTTTGCATTCGTTATGTTAGATCCACTATTTTATGACTTTTTATGACTTGAGTTATTTACATATTCAGCCACTGAAACGTTAAAAAATAAAATTAAAATTAATTAAAATAAAAATTGAGCTGGATCTCCTTTCCACAAGAAAAATCATTATTTTGACTCACAAAACTCTTAAAATAATTAAATTAATTCTTTTTCTCTCTTAAAAAAAAAATCTGACGTGATGGGATCAAGCTATTATACTATATTGTGCGCTGCTCAATTAATGCAGTTCGTGACGCAAGAAGTATCGTTTAGTTAGATAAGATGGACATCGATTCGCATCACACACGTGAATCGAACATATGATGATGATGATTGAAGAACGAAGTGTATTTTACTTCTCGTGGGTGCGCCAGCGCCCAACCCTATCACGCTCCAGATACTATTTATCCCGACACACCCTGTATGTATGTCTCTTAATAACTATCGCGTAAAATATATCATTTGTAATCTGTAGTAAACGATCGATGTTGTTTAATAATTTAATGACAGGAACTTAAATTCTTTTGCCACAAATTATCTTATAAATAATAGCAATATTATAAAATTATAATGAGCACTTTATAAATACATCTGATAAAAATTTGTTGTGCAAATTAATAAAATGTTTAATCTGTCTCATTTCTTATTTTTAATAAATCAGTTAGATTAATTTTTTAACATTTTTTAGTGCCACTGAATATTAAAATAAAATGTCTAATTTATATCGCTAAGTTAATATAAAATAAGAATGAAGATCAACGACGGAAAAAAAAGTTAAAAATTTAAATATAATGGACAAATTTTGATATTACTTTTAGAATCTATAGACAAAAGATGATTGTTATTACAATTTCTGCGAAACATTTCGCGTCAAATAATGTAATCAAATAACATAAGAAAACAGCCACTTTTGAAATTAATAGTCGTGCAAGTAACAAGAAATAATTTTGTCGATGCGTTTCGACCACTCTCCAGATATTTCGTATATGCAGTCTCGCTTCTGTGTTTTATTGTTTCACAGGCACATCTGCGTATTATTAATCGTTCCCATGCTCGTTCTATTTATTTCTCCATGTCGGGGGAAACTGACTCGCCGCGGCGCTGCACTGTTTCATCCAGTACGTGGTTTATTTAATTTCGCCGGGTATTAAACAATGAATAGGGACGAGAATGAACGTGGGCGACGGCACGTGCATACTGCGCCGTAAGTGTAGCCAATTTACGCAATTCAAAATCATTCATGGAACTGAGACTCCAAGTAATTGTTTCGTATCTCTTGAATCTATCGAAAACGCTTGGCGAAATTAAGGCCCAGTTTTACAACTCACGGTTAACCCTTAATCGAGGTTCAACTTATTCATTATCTTTTCCAATTTTAGAATTGGACAGAAATGAGAAACAAGTTGAACCTCAGTTAAGAATTAACCGTGAGTTCTAAAACTGAGCCTAATACTATTTGTGTTTGCCGGAAATACAATATATCGAATTGTGCTTTTTACTTTACGTTGTTATTTATAGTTATTTATACCAGTAACTTTTACAATTTTATATTATAATATTTATATATTATTATATAAAATATTTATTTTTTAATAAAGTCTTAAAAAAATTTTAATAACACCGATCATTATATAACCATGACAGTTAATGTGTTAATGAAGTGTTATTTAATTTTAAAATTTAATTTCTCCCTCTTTCCTTCTTCCCTCCTTTTTTCTTTTTTTCAAGAGAAACTGATGAAATTTATTTTTACTACTAGTTCATTATTGAGTCATTAGCATTTGTTCTTTAATCATTATCAAACAATCTGTTTAACAATCTGTTTTAAATAATTTTTTTAAACAAATAATTTTAGTACAAAAATTTTGATACAACTTTCTATCTTAATTTCATTTATTCTTGATTTTAACTAAAATCCATTTGTCTTTAATTTTGGCGTCATTTTATTTCCTTTTCAGGATTAACTGTTAATTCTCTCTCTCTCTCTCTCTCTCTCTCTCTCT